CGATTGATGCTCAAAAAAGGTTACATCCATGGAGACATAAAAAAAAATTGGTAGTGGGGTCAAAACACTTGTACCCTTTCTTAGGTGGAGAGTAACCAAGGAAAACACATTTTATGGCTCTAGGATCCAGTTTGCTTTTGTTGGGACTGTGATTATGAACAAAAGCAGAACATCAAAAAATTTTAGGGCTTAAGGAAGAGAATAAATGTTTTGTCAAAGGAAAGGATTTCTTGAGTTGGTTCAAGGGTGTCTCATACTTAAGAATACGACTAGGCATTCGATTGATTAAGTATGAGGCTTTTAAAATGGCTTCACCACCAAGGTATTTAGGAACACACTCATTTGGATTAGAAAAGCCCTGGCCACTTCAAGTAACTGCCTATTCTTCCTTTCAGCTACCCTATTTTGTTGGGGCGTGTCAACACGAGGTTTGGTGAACAACACCATAAGCAGCAAGATAATTTCCCAAGATGTTTGAGAAGTATTCCTTACCATTATCAGTCCTAAGGATCTGAATTTTTTTCTGAAATTGGTTCTCAATCATTTTATGGAAGGTTTGAAACACTTGGGCTGCTTCGGACTTTTCTTTAAGAAGATAAGTCCAACTCATCCTAGTATGGTCATCAATGAATGTTATGAACCATTTTGAACCAGAAATATTCGTGACATGCGAAGGTCCCCAAACATCACTATGAATAAGAGCAAAAGGGCTAGACTCAATGTAATTCAAAGTTGGAAAAGGCACTATATGATGCTTAGATAATTCACAGGTTTCACACTTGAAATCTGAAACATTTTTCTCTGAAAATAATGAAGGAAACAACATTTTTAGATAGGAGAAACTCGGTTGTCCCAACCTAAGGTGCCACAAAAGAACATCATTCTTGCTAGCCAGATTCAAAGTCCCACATTGCATAGCTTTCATGCCTTTGCCTTCTTCGTCTCTGCCTTCTTCAAGGACAAACAAGCCATCCATTTCTCTAGCACTGCCAATCCTCTTCCCAATATACAGTTCCTGAAATTCACAATGAGTAGAAGAGAATTTAACTATACAATTCAAATCTCGAGCAAGTTTACAAACTGATATAAGGTTGCAGGAGAGATTTGGAACATGTAGGACAGATTCAAGAACAAAATCCTTTGAGATAATTATGGAACCTTTCCCTGCAACTGATGATAAAGTACCATCTGCAATCTTAACTTTCTGTTGTCCTGAGGCTGGGAAATAGGTATTGAAGAGGCTGGATGAACCTGTCACGTGGTCTGAAGCCCCAGAATCTACGATCCAAGGGCTGGTTTTTGAAGTTTCTGTGTGTAAAACAGTGAGAAAGTTACCTGCTTGTGCAATATTAGCTGAAGAGGAAGGTGTAGGATTAGTACTGCATTGACTCATGAATTTATGAAGATAATTTAACTGTTCTTTACTGAAAATAGTAGTCTCCGAGCCTTTCTGCACATTCTGAGTCTTCAGGTTGTCAGCTGCTACCTGATAACCTCGATTGGGCTGGCTGGATTGGTTGTTGTTGCTGCCAGGCCTGGTTCCTCGCCCAATGCCGTGCGGTTTCCCATGAAGCTTCCAACAATGATCTCTTGCATGGCGTGGCTTGTCGCAATAGTCACACCATAGTCTGTCTTTGTCCTCATTTCTCTTACTGGTTCGCTGTGCTCCAAAAAAAGGCATTCTCAGTTTTCACAGCCATGGCTGAGTTCTCATTACCCGAGTTATTTGAGACATTCATCATCACAGCCAGCCTTGATTCTTCCCTTCTAACTTAAGAAAAAACCTCTCTAACAGATGGAATTGGTTTCCTTCCAAGAAATCTTCCTCTAACCTGATCGTATTCAGCATTTAATCCAGCAAGAAAATCAAACACTCTGTCTCTCTCAAGAATCATCTTATATTTCATGCTGTCCTCCACATTCTTCCGATCATGGTCCTGACACAGGTCCATTTCTTGCCAAAGACGACTCATTCCATTGAAATAGACAGTCACACTCTGCGTACCTTGTTTTGATTCATGGATCTTATGCCTAAAATCAAACAACTGTGAGTCGTTATCCTTGTCCGAATAAGTGAGATCGACAGCCTCCCACAGCTCTTGTGCAGTAGAAAAAAACATGAAACTCTGACTTATTTCTGGCTCCATCGAGTTAATGAGCCAGGACAAAACCAAAGAGTTTTCAGCATCCCACGCTTCAAAACCCGGCTCCTCTGGTTTGGGTGCCTTCGTTGATCCATCCAGCAGTCCCATCTTCCCTTTTGATGAAAAACTTCACGGACTGAGACCAACGAAGAAAGTTTTGGCCATTGAGTTTGTGGGTAGTAATCTGAATGGTAGGACTTTCTATAGGCCCTGAGGTTTGCCCACTAGAAGTCTTTTCCGAAGTACTAACAGAGGTTGCTTCAGACATGGTGGTCGGAAGTTAGCCAGCAATAAAGGCCGACTGATTTAGAAGAAACTGAACCCAGAACTCAAAGGAGGCTCTGAAACCATGAGGAAAGTTTTTGAATAGGGAATTCTATTTCTTTCATCGTTTACAGATTGTACAAGTCCTATATATACAAGAAAGGACAGCTACACTCTAGGCTATAAATAAGGAAAGAAATAAATGTACCAAGTCAAAGATTTGCAGCTGTAAAAACAACTGGAATCAGAGACTAAAATGGGAAGGAATCATTCCAATTTATTCAGGGAATAATTCTGAATAAATTGGATCCAAATCCTGGGGTCAACCGGGCCTAGAATCCCAGATTTTCTGGTGATCTGTTTTTCCACATAAATCATAAAAGAAGAAATGTGCATTGCTTGAACTTCTCCTGAACTCGAACACCAATGACTCAATTGTCTAACAACATAAGTACTCAGTCATGCATCATTACTTTATAGCTGTTTCTTAGACAAAGTGAGTAGACAGGACTCATCAACAAACAAGTCAATGTGTACTGCTTGAAGCTTTCTTTAACTCAAACACGAATGACTCAATTGTCAAAACAACATGAGTACTCAGTGAGTAGGCAGGAACTCATCAACAAAAAACTCTCATCTAGAAACTCAACCTAATGAAAGTGTTAGGATATTGAGTCATGTCTTGGCAAGTTCCTGAACAAAAGTAGGGCTGTTAGTTAAACAAAATTTCTTGAGTCAGTATGTCTACAACCAATAAAAATATCGGATGCAAAAGATGAAGAGCAACAGGAGGATCATGCCGAAAATTCATTGAAGCTCAATCGGATATTTAGGTTGAGGTAGGATGAGACCTTAGTAGAAAAAGGAATCTAGGTTGGAATTAGGGTTGGCAAAATGGGTTAGGAACCATCAACCCGCCCATATCCGCCCGCTTTTTAATGGTTATGGCTGAACCATATTTAGTTTGAGGGTCAAGATGGGTTAAATATGATTCATATTTCACCCGTCACATAATAAACACACTATACACATCTATTCTATATTGCACTCAACTCATTTCTCTCTCTAAAATTCTCTCACTCACAATCCTCTCTCTCTATATTTGTCTCTCATCAATCCCTCTCTCTCTAAGTTTCTCTCTCCAAAAATTTCTTCTAAAAAAAATAAATAATTAAAAAATAATTTTAAATAATTAAAATATATATTTTAAAAATAATAAATAATAAAAAAATTTAAAACCTTTCGAAAAAAAATGATTAAAAAAAATAATAATTAAAAAAAAAATTTAAAAATTTTAAAAATTAAAATTTTTTGACAAATTTAACGGCAACGCCAAAGAGGTGCATTTCAGGGGTGTACGGAAGAGGCCGTGGGGGAGATACGCCGCCGAGATTCGAGATCCGGGAAAGAAGAGCCATGTGTGGTTGGGGACGTTCGACACGGCGGAGGAGGCGGCCAGGGCGTACGACACCGCCGCGAGGGAGTTTCGCGGCAACAAAGCCAGGACTAATTTCCCGGTGTCGGAGGAGGTGAGTGTGAGGAACGTTAACAACGGTGGTGGTGAGAAGATAGATGTGATGAGGATCAAGAAGAGTAGTTGTAATTAGAGTCCGGATCAGAGTAATATCGTGGAGTCGTCCGGGTTTTCACTCGCGCTGATGGTTGATTCATCGCCGTTGGATCTCAATCTCTCTCACGGCGCCGGAGGCGTAGCTCGATTTGGATCTCAAACTCGCGACTTCGATCTCAACTTTCCCCCACCGGAAAACACCTGATGCCACTGCTGGTGGAGGCGGGATTTTTTTGTTTTTGACCGTCTTCTATTTAATTTTTTATTTTTCAGTTTTCCCTTTTCTTCTGTTTTTGGAAATGGGGATAAGATTAGGTATCAGGGAAGTGTTGGAGCTTAGGTGAAAAAAAAAATTAAAAATACAAAATAATTAAAAATAATAATTAATGGGTCCACGGGTCATAACGGGTTAACCCTACCAATTTTCAACCCGCCCATTTTTAACCCGTTCTGAACAGGTTGAATATGGGTCTTAACCCATGTTGACCCACTCATTTTCAACTCAACCCAAACCCGGCCCAACCCACCCATTTGCCACCCCTAGTTGGAATAATGAATTAGAGAGTTGGACCTCCCATGTCCTGGGTTTGATCATCAAAAGGCTCAAATTAAAGTTTTTCAAAATTCTGGATACGGATCAATCAAAAACTTGTAAAGTAGTTGCAGGCAAACTCTAAACAAAAGCTTCTACAAGCATTTGATCTCCTCGATGACAACATAGATAAAGATCCGTACATTAATACCAACAAGTATTCAACTAAACCAGATAATATGAGTATCAAATGGTGCATCTGATAAATGCACAAACATAGCTTTGCTGTCATAGCTTTGTCACCAAGCACTTGCTAAGTTATCCCCTGGCTGCCACCAGTCATAACTATCAGCAGATAACATGATACATGTGCCATTATATTTAACACATGTTTCTGGTTCCCTAGCATGCAATTTACAGAACTTCTAAATATATAACCATAGTAAATCCTATTAAACAAAGGCAAAAATGAAATTTTCATGTAAATCACCTGAGATAAAATTTTAGCACACTCTGCCATGGTAGACAATTCTCTTCTCTGTGATGCTGCATCAAATCGAGACAACAATCTATTCTCCAGTTCTACACAAGCAACAAAAGGCGAAACAGCTCAATTACACACCGCCTTGAAATACCAAAATTACCATTAAAATATATGAGGGACATAAGAGGCACTTAACCTCCTAAAAATCCTGAATGTTCGCACTCTGATTATTATGTAAGGTACATATAAATAGTCAACATGGAATCCTCACGTTCCAATGAGAAAAGAAGTTATTCCAGCAATTCTTAAATGGATTGGTCTTATTAAATCCGACCAGTATAATTTGATGAAGCGTTCATCGATAAAGCTGATATTTTATATATTAATTAAATATATAAATTATCGAACATTTATTGAAATTCTTGTGGCTTTTATTGGAATAAAGACATGTGAAAGGACCTATTAGCAAAGAAGTGATAGAATGGGACTCAGTTGTAAATAGATTATTCCCTAGTGTTTCTTTGTAAATATGTTAGTGGACATATTTGCAACAATAGGCTTTTATTCCCTACATATTAGGACATATATATGCAATAATTCAATTAGGACTACTATTCCTAATTTGTTTCTAAGTTGGAGAACTAGGGAGGGTCATAGCTAGAGAGATAGTTCCTATAAGATCCCACGCATAGGCTCTCCCAAACAACTTTTGAAATTCACGTTATTGACTGATAAAGAGGAAGGCCACCATCTCCCTAATTTGTGAAGCAGTATAGTGAGGAAAGTCGAAGGAGAGCAATGTGATCAAGTAGGAGGCGAAATGCTTGAGCTGCTAAGTGAGATCTGAAAATAAATCCACAGTGTTCTCATCAATTAAACGATCTACAAATCGTTTAAGGTATGTTCTTATTGATTCGATTAAAATTATGTGATCAAGATCCATCTATTAATTAAAATATTGTTTCCACTACCTTCAGTAATGCCAACAAAATCAAATTGAATCTTCCTTATCTCATGTTTGAAATCTTATGTAAACACAACAGGTAGATTTTGTTTCAAGTCCACATCCACATGCGCCAGTTTTTTTCTCCTTGGTTCAATTAGAGTCTAAATAATAACAAGAGACAATAACAAAACATTGCAATATTACTGAAGTTTAGAAGCCGCAATAACAAACCATTGCAATATTCCTGAAGGTTAGCAACCGCAACTTCCAATCCTCTTCTTGCAGATGCATTTCCCACAACTGATGGTCCAGATATTCCATGTCTTCCAACATCTTCTTCAGCGAATGACCCTAAAATAACAGTAGCAGCATATAAAATTTTACTTTTTTCTGCGAAAGCTCTCAAGAGAACATTAGAGTGTTGCAGTAAAAATTATGGAGATGCAAATTGTTGTAAAGTATAAAACATATGTGAAGAGAAATTAAACGAGATAAACACAGATATTACGTGGTTCAGCCACTAGGGCTTACATCCACGACACACAAAGCCCAGAGGGCTACATATCTTCTATTATAATCTCTCAACTCATACACAATACAATGGTGAAGAGTCCTCTATATAGGAGAATCTCCCAACTCATACACAATACAACGGTGAAGGCTCCTCTATATAGGAGAAGAAATTATGAGAATGGAAAGAGAGAGAAAATAGGAAACAATGAGGATTTTTCTCCACTAATTCCTCTAATAATAGCAAATCTTCAATGATAGCAAACTACATCAATTACTCGAGGATTTTCCTCCACTGATTCCTCCATTAAATCTTCAATACTGCCCCTCAAGTTTGAGCATGAATGCCCACTTGCCATTAAGATGACGAGCAGCAGCAAGTGCGAATGATGAAGAGAGATGAGAGATGGCGAAGTACAATGCTACTAAACACACTGGCAGCCCAAACAAGTCAAACAAAAATTGCCGGAGACACGGCAAAGGCAAAGACAATGCTACAGAACACACCCGCAGCCCAAACAAGTCGATACAAACTGCTAGAGACACAGCATAGGCGAAGATCAGTGCTACCGAACACAAGAAGCCCAAGCAAGTCACAAATAGTACCGAGAAACCCTTAGCAACATTTCGGATGCTAAGGGATACCCCAAAATAGGGGTCCGAACCTAGGAAGAGAAATTAGGCTCTGATACCATGTTGTAAAGTATAAAACATATGTGAAGAGAAATTCAACAAGAAAAACACAAATATTACGTGGTTCAGCCACTGGGGCTTACATCCACGACACACAAAGCCCAAAGGGCTACATATCTTCTATTATTATCTCTCAACTCATACACAATACAATGGTGAAGGCTCCTCTATATAGGAGAAGAAATTATGAGAATGGAAAAAGAGGGAAAATAGGAAACAAAGAGGATTTTTCTCCACTGATTCCTATAATAATAGCAAATCTTCAATAATAGGAAACTACATCAATTACTCAAGGATTGCTCCACTGATTCCTCCATTAAATCTTCAAAAAAGAGTAGTTGCAGGAAGCAAACAATATCTCTACAAACATCATATGTTAAGAATGTGAAACTCATTCAACGTTTCACAACATATTGCTGCACCCAAATTTAAATTTGAAACAAGTATCATTCCTTCTATATTAATACCAGTCATATTGATGGATCTATTAAAAGTAGAAACAACTATTGTCTTCCCAGAGAAAGAAGAAGAAGAAAGAGAAAGATCTTGCCCCTTTTTGTTTACAAAATAAATGGTTTCAGTTTTTAGTTCATTCTTATCAAGAAATAACAAATGAAATTAATATTGATAGAAATATGATAAAACAAGAGGAAGAAGGAGAAATCCATCCAAACGAGGGAACAAGATGAACCAAACAAAAGAAGGATAATAACATAGGAGCCTGAACTCAATGAAAGATCATTCAAGGAGGGTAGAATACCCTCTCAAATATTTTGAGAAGCAGCATCTTCTAAGCCCATAAGTCAGCCTCTTTGTTGGCTGATCTATAAAACCACTGAAGCTTCACATGGAACAATTAAGCAAAAATCATGAATTCCTTGAAATGGTAATGTTTTAGTCTCAATTACTGTAAAAGACAGGCATATGATAATAAAGAAGCGTGAATGTAGTATATTCGAAGAAGATAGAGAATGAATTCGAAATAAGCAAGAATGTAATGTATTAAAAGAGGATTACTAAGAGGAAGACAGAGAAAAAAAAGGACAACCGTCTACCAGGAACATATAAATGCTTTTCTGCAAGAGTTAATTCTGCTTCTGTTAGAAGAACAATATAAAAAGTAAGTTTCCAAGTATACCCGTATACTGAAGGAGCTGGCATCCAATAAAGTTGGTTACTACAACAGTTAGTGTAGGTACATGCAGAAACAGAGCCACCTCAGCCCCTGGCTGGCTCCATCAATTTATTTTTACCTTTTTACTTTTGTTGTATGGAATGGTGGGTATTTACAAAATCCTCCCCCCCATCCCCCCCCCCCCCAAAAAAAAAAAATTCCGTTTTCTAAAAATTTCTCCAACTCTTTCTTGTTTTTCTCTTTTACTATTCTTCTTCTTCAAATTTATTTGATTCCCTTCAAAAAAAAAAAAAAAAAATCTTTGCATCCCCCTTCAATCACACCCTAATTTTTTTACCCTTCAAAGATCTCTCTTTTTTCTTCTTAAAATTTATTCTTCTTGCACTCATGAATGATATGTGTGCAGTACCATTTTTTTTTTTCTCTTCCTATACATTTTTTTGCTCTTCTTCTTCTTTAGATTTATTATTGAAATCTTAAAAACTTAATGACCTTATTTTATGCTTCTAAAAAATTTATACTGTAATTGTTTGCAAATAATGACATATTGTTTGAACCTTGATTATTGCACCGTTATTGCATTTCTATTTTAGTAGGAAAGTGCCCCCCCCCCCCCCCCCAATAAATTCCTAATTCCGTCACTGGGTACATGTGAATTTGTTTTCACTTCTTCAATTATGTTATATTTGTTTTATCAATCAAAAAAGCATCAATTATCCTTTTTTAGCTCGAGTTGGATCTTTAAGCTGATTGGAGAAAGAGGATTAACAACCCAAGCAAATGGTAAAGGCTTTGTTGAGTTGAGTTAAGTTTTAAAAAAAAAAAATTTATCAGCTGAAACTTATAACCTTATTTTCTCCTTTGAGTTCTTATTCGTTACATCCTATATCTCTCTCCCTCTACCTGCTTGAGTTCACAATTTCATAAAACATATTCCATTCAAACAGAAGGTAAACAAATAGGAACAAAGAGTAAAATAACAGAAACAAATGACTGCGAAATGAGAAACCAAACTTCGTGAATTAAAGTTGTCGGCATGCAAAAGCAATAGATAAGTCGAGAAATATAATCTCCATACAAGAATGTTTTAATTCATCAACTAACATCAAAAAATTATGAGCAAATTGGAGTTTGGAAAGATGGGACAACGAGGACTCATTTGATAAGATTTGGTCAGAACAACAATGGCCGTTGGAAATGTGTAGAAGGAAGGAAGATATGAACATGGACTCGGTGGAACAGGAAAACTGGATTCACACATCTTAGCACAAGTAATAGGTACCAAGAATTGAAGAAAGATCACAACTTAGCAAGGTGACAAGGAAGTCATTCAATAGCCACGGTTTTGGGAATATTCCTTCTCGCCCAGTGATTCAAGTAGTAAGAGAGGGGGAAAAGAAACATCCTGGTATAACGAGTAACAATTAATATAAACATTATCATGAGATTTGGTCACAACAACAATGGCCGTTGGAAATGTGTAGAAGGAAGGAAGATATGAACATGGACTCGGTGGAACAGGAAAACTGGATTCACACATCTTAGCACAAGTAATAGGTACCAAGAATTGAAGAAAGATCACAACTTAGCAAGGTGACAAGGAAGTCATTCAATAGCCACGGTTTTGGGAATATTCCTTCTCGCCCAGTGATTCAAGTAGTAAGAGAGGGGGAAAAGAAACATCCTGGTATAACGAGTAACAATTAATATAAACATTATCATGACAAGTTTGTACGAAATGAAAATGCACTACTGTCAAAGTCCACTTCTTGTAATGTAATTTAAGGTCTTATTCTGTGTCAAAAAAAAAATCACAACATTCAGGAAAAATAAATAAATACAATGCACTACTGTAAAGCTTTCCTAGAAAATAATGCCATCTTACGCAATTTCTGTGCAATTGAAGCAGCCTCAGCAACACGACTATCATCAGAAAATAATGGTGAAAGTTCCATTAGGTCACCCGGGCTGCTATTAAACTCCATCAAGTACTGAAAAATTCAACCAAATAGAATCAGAAAATATAAGAAAACTATTTCAATTTACATGTTACAGTCAATGATAATATTAAAACCTTTATGAGGTCTATCGTTTGGCGGGCAGCATCACGTTGAGAATCTGCACTCTGATGAGAAAGACTAACATAAATTAAAGCATAGGATCACATGTAGCCCAAAAAAATGAGGCAACCCAGCAATTCGATAAACATTAAGTACATATGGGGTCTGAAGCATTAAATAATCAGATCATTACACAAACTTTACCTGCAGATGATCTCCAATTTTGGCAGCAGTCTGCCCAACGCTTGAAATACGTGAATCCAAACGTCCAAAGCTATCAAACAAGCCATCTACACCTTTTTCTATCTGAACATTGACATAAGCATGAAATGTAACTGAAAGTGTATCTTAATAACAAGCAAATATTCCAAAACAGTCCATAGCTGAATGTAGTTCCAATGATTTGTAAAAATACAAACATGATTACACTAGAAAGTGATATCAAGGGCGAATAGAAAGAAATAAGCAATGAATGTCAATAAAATAAAAGATAAGACGCAACAATCCTCATCTCCAAAGATTTTCCCAAGTACTCCTGATTGAATTATGATTCTAAAAAAGCACAACAATTAGTGTTGAAAACTTTTTCCTGAAAAGGTGAGCCACATACATTTAAAATATAAAGAAACTTGTGCCCCCTCCAGGCTGTTATTCAAAAAAAACAAAAAAATTACACATTGCTTTTTAACTTTTCCTATTCATTGGAGGAAGTAACCAATAAATGCTGTCTACTAACTCACCTCACCAAGTGTCTTCCGGTGCATAGAATCTTGAACAAAAACCTCCTTCTTGAGATTATTTTGTCTTCCATCAATCTTTAACAAAACATAATAAATCAAATTTTGGTTAACGAGTTCACGCAATTGATCACATCAAGTCCCTCCCAAGTCCTAACTAATACCTGTTTTCGAAGATCAACTAACTTTGTGCAAGAATCATTAAACAAAGACAGTAGAGCATCTACTTCTGGGAATAAAGGGCCTGAATCAGGCGGAATTCGCATATTCCCATTCGGTAAATCATCATTCCCACCAATGTTACTATGTCCATCTAACGACTCTGATTCTTCTTCTTGAAAAGATGGAAGGAGCTCATTCACTAAGTTCCCAAATAATGCATCAAATGAAAATTCCCCCTACATTAAATTAAAAAAAAAAAAAAAAAAGTAAATATAAATAAATAGATCTTTATCAATCTTTTCAAATGGTAATTTTTTGGTAAATAGCAAGCAAAGCATAATACCAACATTAGCTACCTACCTACTACTTACGAACATAGGATTAAAAACATACATTCACTCACACACACAAATAAAAACATGAAATTGATCCCAACAAAAAAATAAATTAATTAATTAAAATATAAAACCCTTACCTTGAAGTCGTCTATGTCTAGCTCAAGGGTAGTAGAATTAATAGATGAAAGTCCATCAGTACTAGAACTCCTGGTTCTATCTCTACGATTCGATTTCATCATCTGATTCACGAGAAAATTAAAAATCAAAATTTAAACAAAGTAAGTACAACAAATTTATAACAAACTTGATACATATTCATCTTATTTGGCTCAAATTTGAATCAAACTATCACAGGACAGCTATTCCATTTAGTTTCCAAAAAAAATTCATATATATATATAAATATATATGAGTATGTATTTATTTATCTATTTCATCTGTACGTACAATTATATCTGCCGGAGTCGGAAAACGATGATACCAGAGCGAGAGAGAGCAATTCTTGTTGCATCCGAATCGAGAAACAAAACTGAAACTTGGGTCCCATTTATAGTAAATCTTTTCAAGAAATGAAAAATATGATTTTACCCCTATATTTTTAGATAATCATAAAATTTCCTTATAAAATTACTTTTTTTCTTTGTTTTTTTGACAACTTTTTAGTACTTGTTTCAAAATAATATTTTCTCGTGCACCGAATTTCAAGGTTTATGCCAATTCAACGTTTCTAGTCTTTTGTTGTATTATTTTTTCAAATTTGAACAAAATCTACTCTAAATTTCTTTTCTTTTAACCTTCTAGTTTGGTATAATTCATTCATGGGATTATAAAAGTACCAATTGGCACGGACCTATTTGAGAGTGGGGCAATTGCCCCTACTAATTTTTTTTTTTTTTTCTTTTATAGTATTATATCGTTTTTTTTTTTTTCCCCTGACTACCAATAATATTGTTCATAGAGAGAGAGAGATTTTGTAGTAAGAAATGAAGGCTGGCTTTTTTTGCAATTTTATGGAACCAATGTTTAAGAAAAGGAAAATGATTTTAATTGGTCACCAAATATAAAGAAATGGGACTCTGCACTTTCTTATCTCTTAAACCCAATTTTCGCGATTTGGGAGCCCAAATACACCGAGCGGTCCCAGAATGATTCACAGGCTGACTCGCACAAAAGTACAAGCCCTAGCCTTATCGCAATTTTTTTTTTTTTTTTTTTTGCCAAATGGCATGTTTTTGACGCTGGCTTTTAAAAAAAAAAAAAAAAAAAAAAAAAAAAACCCTCAAATATTGGTTATTTTGGGCTCTTTTTTAAAAATAATAAAATAAAATTCATTTAATAAAAAATAATAGTCCTTATACACTGTTTGTCCAATAAAAAAATTGATTTGAAACAAAAATAAATTTAAAAACCTTTTTTTCCCTTAAAAATTAATTTTTTTAACTTTTTTTGCTTTAATTTTTAAAAATCTGCCACAACCTGCACTTGTGGCAGTTAAGGCACTGCTTGGCTGACACAAACAGTGCCTTAATGGCTAAAAAAAAAAATTTAAATCAATTTTTAAAAAAAAACTTTTAAAAATTCATTTATCTTCTATAAATACCCCTACTCCAACCACCATTCATCTCACATCTAACATATCTCTACTATTTACCATTCGAGCTACTTCATCTTCTATTTTCTCAATCTTAGTTATCATTTTCAAACTTTATCCGATCCCACAGATTCTCGATCAAGTAACTCCCAACCTTCCACACAACAACCGATTATCCGAATTCTAAATTGGTCCACGATCGAAAATGAGGCTTTATGTTGGGCGTAGATGTCCATTACCTCCGATGTGATTACAGGGGCAAATCAATTTAAGAAGAAATTATGGGAGTGAATGTAATTTCCTGGATTTTTTCGAATTTTGCTATATTTTTCTTTTATTTATTCTTTGTGCCTCGTTTTACATGCCATACGGGCCCCGAGGGCCGTTTAAGTCATTTTATCAAGCCGAGAGTTTTAGAAATATTTTTTTTTATTTTTTTGAAGCCAATTGCAAGTGACGGGATTAATTGTAGAGTTTTTTTCGAAACTCGGGACAACTTTCGGGCTCGGGAACTTCTCCCGGTTTTCTCATTTCAAATGAGGGGAATTGTAAATATTTCACACACATATACATATGCATATATATCTATACATTGAAGTAGATATTTTGGGGATATAGATGTCATTGCATTGGAAGGGAAAGGGCAAAGGAGTAACTTTGCCAAAGAGTTAGTAACTATTGACACTTGGCAAGTGTTGGACCACTCTTTCAAATGCAAGACCAAACCATTCCCCTTTCCTTTCCCATTTTCAGTCAAGGCTCTCTCTCTAGTTCTTCTTCTTCTCTTTTTATATCTATATACGCAATGCTTTAAGGCCATTTTTGAGGGGTTTAGGTTACGATTTTGCTAAAGCCATGGAAGGAGAAGTTGATAAGCTTGGCAAATGCTACATTCTGAGACCATTGAAGCTAGGGCTTGGGGAATTTTGAATTTGGCTTAGCCTTAGGACTTGTTTAGCTAGCACACTTAAGGTATGTATTTCTGATGCTTCAAACTTTGTCTTTTATTGAGTATTCACGCTATGATTTCAATTAACTTCATTCTTAAATGTGCGATTATGAACTAAAGTGGTGATGTGTTGATATGTGAAAGCATGCTAGTAAATGAAGTGAAATTGTATTCTCTTCCACGTTAACGAGGTGTATAATATTGCTCTAGAATGAAATTAGTTGGAATATGAATGCTAGCATGGTTGTGATGATGTGATTTTTATGAAGAGCATGTTTGTTATTGAATTAAATGAAGAATGCTATGAATGTGGTTATATTGTAGAAAATGTCATGTATGTGCTCATCTTTTAGAGAATGTCATGATTATGCCATTGTTATTATGCGAAAGAAATTGAGGTGCAATTAATGAAATCAAATTATATGCATAGCATGGCGGAAGGTTGAATGAGAAAAGGCATGAAATGAATTTTTATAAAATAAACCGGATTTTGCGAGTCCAGTGCTAACTTGACCTAGAGGGTGCGCGTGCCGGTTTAAGACGTGAAAAGTTGATTATTAGGCCCCAATTGATTGCCGGATTTGGAGCTAGGGATAGTAACTTAATCTTGCCTAGGTAAAGTCGGTTAGCAGTTTTTAAGTGTGAGTTAGGGTTGGTAGAAACCAGGTTCGGGGACGGTTGTGCATTACATTACATTTCTATGTAATATTCTGGTGATTTGTGATTTGAATGTGATAAAATTTTCCTAGGTATGATCCCGATTTCTCTTTATCCCTAATGTGTGATATGTGTCTCAAGAGAGTCCAAAGTTGATACCTTAGAAATCTTCTACTAAACCTCTGTGTTTACCCATTCCTTTAACATTTTTCAAGTTATGGCAAAGACGTGGTTAATGACGAACCCTTACAAGTTTAGTTAGGGTTGATGAATGTATTTTTGTAAACTTTTGTAACTAATGTTTAGTTGATATGTATTATTTTGTAAAGCATTGTAATTGAGGCATTAAGGGCCTTAGATTTGTAATTATATTCTTTTGGACATGTAATACCTATTGTAAACACTCATTTGTGACCTAATGAATGAGGTGGAATGTTTGAGAATGAATTTAAATTTACAAAGGGGATCTTATGTTAATTGCATATACAAGCGAAGTATTTTCGGTCATGGAGACCTTGCAATGGTAGCTATTGTAATATTTTTTATTTTTTCCATTTTTCATTTTCTGAAATTTTTTTATTTTTTCGAGGGTATTTTTGTCTTTTCTTTTTTGCGTGCCGGACACCGTGGGGTGTGCCGGGTGTGTCAGAGTATTGATTAGGATATTTCCTTGAGTTTAGAACTCTTGGAAATGCATTAATTGCCATTTCGGCATTTTTTTATTTTTCAGGCTGGGAGGTCCCAGGTGGGACCCGTTATTAAAGTCGTTGAGCATGGGGATTTTATTTTGGGTTCAGTGCATATCATACATCATTATTTTTTGCTCATTTACTTGGTTACATGTTTATTTTGTGGATGTTAATTGGTTAGTGTAGATATATATATATATATATATATATATATATATATATATATATATATATAAAACAAAATTTTTATTTTTCTGTTGAGCCCACTTTGACTTGGTCATTATAATGACCAATGGTCATTTTGCAGACCATTTTCATTCTCTCTCTCTCGTCAATTTCTTTTCTCTCCCTCTGTGACTTCTTCTTCTTCTTCTTCTTCTTCTTCTTCTTCTTCTTCTTTTCACCATTCAAAGCTTGATCTTGCCATAACCTTTGGGAATTTGGTATTGTCGCTTAATGCAAAGTTGGAGAGTTCGTCGAGTCCGTCATTTTGATCGGAGCCAATCTCCGTTTGGCCACTAATTGGGAATTCAAAAATTGGGCATTTTTAGGACTTTTTCCCCAATTTAAGGTAGGGGTGCTATAACCCACAATTTCTTTAATTATAGTAATTTTCTACCTTAAATTTGTTCTCAAACATGTTTAACTTTAGTATTTGACTTATGATGCTTAGTGTTTATGTGATGATTTGATTTATGTGAATATTTGTCCTAAATTCTTGTTTTTTTATGTTAATGTGATGAAATACAATTCAAAGTATGCTATGATATGTTCAAAGTGTTTAAATTGTTTATTTAAAAGCATGAAATATAAGTATGTGGTTGGACTTGGTGACTTATGTGAGATTTTCATTGTTGGCATAGTGAGTATGAAGTATGAAGCATTCATGCATTCATTGGGAAGGAAAAAGGGAAAAAGTGTTTTAAAAACAAATGAAATTGTTTTGGAAAAAAAATGTTTTCGAAAAGTATTTGCGAAAACCGAACGCCTAGGAGTCGTCTAGTGGTCCACGACGTTAGTATGGTCTAGAGGGGACTAGGGAAAGACCCTACCGTGGTTGAGCTACCTAGGCCGGATACGAAGCCTTGGAGTTGCCTTATAGTCGTGAATAGTTAGCCAATCCTTCTCTCGTGACGCCTTAGAGTCAACTTGGGTCGGATTGCACTAACGATTTGGAAAGGTAAAACGGTATTGTTTCACAAATGGGGAGCAACATTTCATAGCATGGCATATATTGCACACTTGGTAATCGGATGACTTGTGTATGTATTTGTTGATATTATTACTGTTTTACTTGCTTCCCAAGGCATGATCTCGTTCACTTGTATTATATTCCTTATATGGGTTCACGGGGTCGTAAAAGGTATGTCTTAGACACTTCTAACTGAGCAGTTGGCTCACCCCATTACTTTAATATTTTCAAGACACGGGAAAGAGGTGGCAGAAGACGATCCACCACAAGTTTAGACGGGATTGGAGATTTATATTTTGCTATCTTTTGTAATTGAACTTTAATATTTTGTAAATATAATCTTGACTATTTTGTAAAACTGTAGTTTAATTTGTATAATGTTGTAAGTTATGGACTTTTAATTTTAGCTATATTTTATGGACTGTAACTTGATGTAATTAAAGTGCGTTCCTTGTAAAAGATTATGGGACTAGGTAGTGGACTGGTGTTTCCATGTTTGGATGA